TTTATTGCCGCGTTTTAACGTCACACATAGGTGACGCGCTCGGTTCCAGGATGTCTGGAACGCTGGCGCTCGAGAACAGAAGGATTTAGTCTCCCGCTCGCTCCTTTGTCCCTCCGCGCGGCGGTTCTGAAGCTGCCACCACCGGCCGTGTCTGGAATGGCACTGAGAACCTGTCTCGCGACTTGCGGTGGCAACGCGAACGCCGTAATACGCGGCTGGTTACGGTTTCTGAGTCGCGGTTACGGCATCATACACGGAATATTCTACAAAAAATGCATACTCCGAAGGATCGCATACATTTCTTCGTATACACGGCTGCGCGAGTTTGCCGTGCACGCGCCATGTGTATGTACGCGTATTTACCGTCCACGTCGACTGCAATTCGTATCATTGTCCTGTCGTGATCCCGAGTGCGTTATATTCACACGGCTCGTTTATGAAGGAGAGTGTCAGCGCGACCGAAAAAGTGATCGACGGTGATTTCGCGCGAGTTAAACAGAATGGAAAGTGGATATTGTTTAGGATGAGAGACGAGCGCGCGGAATTGCCGCTCGCCATCGATGTAATCGGTCACACCTTTTAATATTTTTAGCGGAACAGAATCCACATGTATTGAATACAAAGGGAATTAATTAACAAGTATATTAATAAGTTTATTATTGAGCTAATCTTTCCTGCTAATCTGATTTGCTTCTTTATTTTATTGTTATAATTAATCTTATATTTGATAATAATTTCTTTTATATAAATGCAATTTTAATCAACAAGTAAAATTGTTAAAGAATTATTAGTAACTTTGATTTAACTTTAAGTCAAAATTCAATTCTTAACTAGTCCGATCCTAATCTAAAAGAGTTAAAATCTTATTTTAACTTAGTTAACTTAGTTAGTGGCTTAATCCAAATTGTAAGATAAAATTCTATTTTTACAAGTGAACAACTTGAGATAGCTTTTGATACAATATTATTTTTTCAGTGTTTTTAATTTAAACTTAGGATTATTGTTAAATTAAATTTTCTTAATTATTTCAATTTTTAGAGCAGTTTTCCTTTTTTATTTATACATTCATTTTTTTAAAGTTACTTTAAAGAAAAACATGACATTTAAATACTCAATAGACATGTTCGAAAAAATATCAAATTTAAAGTTTGATTGTTTATAAGGAGAGCGGCGAATATACTTCTTGACTTTCTTGATACTTCTGATACTTTTCTTCTGATACTTTCGTATCACTGTTCCTATCAATCATGTAACTTGTAAATGAAGATCGATAAGATTGCGTAATCCATACGGAACAAAAGAAGTTTATTTCTGAAACACTGATAAAGTCCTCGAACTTTGATATTGCCGAAAGTTCTTCTCGATATAAACCAATAACGTACTACTTGGCAAAAGCTATATCGGCTTTTCTGCCATTGGCACAGCTACATAGAATTTCAGCTGAATTAAATAAGCTAGAACACAAAAATTGTGTTAAATTATGTGACCTGAAATTTAGTTTTATGTATCGTGTTATGAATTCCGCGCATGAATGCCAAATTAAGATTGCCATAGCACAACTCTGAAAATCCTGCCAAATCTTGGAAATCTTATTAAAATATACATCGAAGGAAAAAGAAATAATAGATTAAAATCAAGTTTAGAAAGACATTATTATTTAAATAAATGTGTACATATATAATATTTTTATATAATTAAAGCGTTTTTGTTCTAACTTCAAAATTATTCTCCGCGCATCGGAATAAATAAATAATGTACTAGTTTTTAGAATTTTAAGAAGAAGATATTTTTCATTTTGAAGTAACAACATTCAAGTGTTTTCACTTTTGCGAATTAAGCAGCGAATGCAAATTTTTCTGTTCAAAGAGATGTTCTCTCTTCGAATAAAATGAAATTCCATCGCATAATTTTTTGCTCATTTTCCTGATTTATATATCTTCAATCAACTTCATTGCTAATCGATTTTCCTCAAAGCTGATACATAAATGAAGCTCGCTCATTACTCACAAATCTTTCACACATCGTCCATCGATTTTTACCTTTTTCAACCTTACATTTATTATAATTAAAATAATAAGGAAAAATTTAGGAAGTATATAAATATAATCCAAAACGTATCAAATATTTATGTTGAAAATGTATCGTTTATTTACATAAAAGTTATTCGCATATTTAAAAAAATTTATATTTTTATAAGAATTATTATGTGGATTATTAAAACCACATTTATTTCTACAAACATTTTATAATAATTAAAATAAAGAAATGTATTTTGTAATTCTATAACATTTTATACATATACACGCGCTTTTCTTTCTGCTTTGCAATTTATTGTATATCTGCAAATATTATTTTATAAAAAGTAGCAAATCGCATGCGGATAACGGCAGCAAAATCAACGTGGTTTGGAGCTGATATAGCAGAAAGATCTCCGTCATACGCGACCGGAGGTTTCATCACATTCGACTCGGTGGTGAATGAATGGTAGCGCTCGAGGTGATTCCGTGCATTCCCTCTATTTACTGCAGGTATACGCTTTCGTACGACGATGCAAGTGCACACGATACAAGCTGGGAACGTGTATATAAACGCGATAAATCGCCGACACGCGTTCGTCGGCGTGTGTGAAACTCCCGCTCGGATCGTTCGTCGAGTAGATCCGTCACGAATGCAGACGCCCACAGCGATGCATGAAGTGCATCGCGGTGCCGGTTGCACTCGTATTTTACGAAGTTCGCCGGTGCTTCGTCTACGTCATTTTTTCCTCGGGGCTCGCGCGCCGGAAGGGTGGAAATCGTCTCTCTCTGCGGAATGAGTTCCTGATACGGCCGAGCGCTCGGTAGATTTAGATGATCCGCGGGATCTACAGCGGGAAAGCGAAAGAGAGGAATTGCAATTTATTAACTCCTACGTATCGGAGTATCGCCGCCATACGTAGCCATTAAGAGTTTACTTCTTATAGAATAATGAAATAATGCAAATAATGAAATTGGAATGCAACATCTTGTCCGCGTGCTAAATCACTTCGTTAATGGATATCGTATGAACAAGTGATCAGTGAGTTAAATGTGAATGTATGTAACTCCGTTTCTTTAGCATACATTTTTTAGTGAATTGGCATTAAGCTTTCAATCGAAAGAATGTAATCATGCGTATAGAGTATTTCATTTACGTTATTAATACCGACATTCTTATATCCAAAGAATGATTTATGATCGAATTCATAACTTTGAAAATTTTATCACATTATTAAATAATATATGTTGAAATATTTTATTACAATCAAAACGTAAATAGCAAATGAACTTTTCTCCAATATTAATTTTAATTTTAATTTCAATTTAGCTGGTACTAGTAAGTAGTATTAAGTAATTAAATATTGCTCTCTCTCTCTCTCTCTCTCTCTCTCTACTCTGCTAATTAATATTGCTCTCTCTCTCTCTCTCTCTCTCTCTCTCAAATAAGAGATATAATGTTACTAGTTATTTAAATAAATAATTATTTTGAATTATTATATCCTAATTATATTAACGAATTCTAATTCTAAAATTCAATCTTTGAGAAGCAAGTACTCGTGTTACAATGTTTAGCATTGAGTGGTAATATCGTTGCTTTACGGGAAGCAACGGAATTAGTCGTCAAATCCATTGCAAAGCATCCTGAAAGCAATCGTTTGGCCCCCTTTCTAACACGTACCGACACGCAAAACCACGATCTCGTAACATGAATTCACGCTCGAAGTCGCGTCACTCGACTTCTGTCGCTTTAACCCAGATCGGACCGACGGCGACGTTCCTGAACCGAGAGGCAAGATCGCTACTTATCTACGATCTAGCCATTCTGTGGATCAGCTCGCGCGAATCCGAGAGTCGATGGTATGGCGGCTGTGCGCCGGTGGTTGGCGGGGATATACAATGCTTTGGTATCTCTCCCATCCTCGCCAGTGAGGGGATCCATCTAGCCACCAGCCGCGGGTTTCTTCCTCCATCCTCTTAACGGCGACCATCAATGTGCCTTAGTCGCTTACGGAGCCCACCCCGGGCTCATCGTTATCTTAGCCGCGATAAGCCCCGCAGGAGAACAGATGACGGCGAGTATTTTTTCGCTCGGGCAAATCTATTTTAAATTCTCTTTCTATCCCCGTTCCGCGCCCTCGTAAACGACGCGAAGGCATTTCTCGCCAGCTTCTCGTAGCATTTATTAATTTCCGATAAATCAGCATCCGCTTTCGTTTACCACCCGGCACACCCCTTATTACACTCCCGCAGCGACAGCACGCAGCGATCGAATTGCGGTATCAGAGTCTCATTTCGCGATGAGACGACGCTGTCGTTGTTTCACTTTTTCCCCCCCCCCCTCCGCGGCGATATCGCATGGGAAAACGAGAGAATACCACGCGATGTGCGACGGTGTTTCCGCTTGATGCGGAACATTACGACGAAGTCGATCTATCTCGGATGGATTGTATCAGGATAAAAAGCTACGGATGAACAAATTCATGATTATGTTATCTTGCTGATAAGGAAACTAGAAATACATTTAAAAATGTAAAATATATATGCGCGTGTACATTAAATATACATAAAATATATAAAAGAGGAATATCGATACACGAAAGAATAATAATATTATTTATTTGAAAAACGTAATTTTACAGTTAAATATTATAAATAAATGATGTGAGAAATTAAATAATATATGTAATTAAATATATATGTAAATATATTCATTAATAGTATACATTATATGTATACTAAAATAATATTCTTACATTTTATATTGTACAAATATTAAATATATAATTACAGTTTTAACAAAGCTAATTATAAAGAATAAATAATTAAATGGATTATTTTTTTAGTTTGTTGTTTGTTTTTTTTTCACTATTTGTCTCTGTCTTTTGTAATTAAAATAATAAAGTCTTTGCTGTAAGTTAACATCAATTAAATACAATTCTCATTCACAGAAAATAAAGAAAATCGTTATTCTGTATGTTTCAGAATTTCCATGGAATAGCTACTCATGATGATTGGTATGAAGTTTTTTCGCGTCATTTTGGCGCTCTTAGGAGGCACGCATGTCCTGTGTGCGCAACCATCGGCATCTCCAACTGTGAAAACCGGTGAGTATTCTTTTTCACAATAGGGTTGATTATTGCCATATTCATTTGTCCATTGATATCTCTTGTTGTTTAAATGCGCTATTAGGAGTTTTTTTTTCCGTTTAATGAACACATTTGTGTCTATATTAGCAGTGATTTTTTAATGAGACATCATGCAAAATATCATACAGAGTATCATTAAACGCTGGAAATAATGCTGTTATAAAATTATAACCGCTAGAAATACATGCTGCAGTATCGGAAATTAAATCTTTTTTGTCGAGTTGTAACAGCGAACATATCTGTTCGCTATTTTACATAATTATTAATGGATCCAATTCGTAATGTTACATGACCCATCCTTTATCAATTAAAGTTTGTACATTCAATGTTGGTGAAATTAGTAAACAATTTATGACTGCAATATAGATCGTATGTTCAAGGCTTTCCGTACGACACTGCCATTATGTGACATGAATAATAATTGAATAATAATGGAACAGCAATCTTTATTTTATTATACTATTATTATATTATATTAAAAAATATCTTATTATTATAAAATCATTAAAATAAATTTTTATTATTTTTAATACATCTATAAAACATTTATAAAAGTTCTTCATTAAGAAAAACAATAAGAATACATAAATGCAGGAATTTATACAGTCGTATCTCAATATGCATTATAATTGCAATAACTTACGAGAGATCAGTTCTATTTTTATGAAGACATAAAGATATCTTCATCAACTTCAGTCCATTTCCAATAATTGTAGAATGGAATTACCATGTAAATGAAAGTGTTGCATAATGGCACTGTATGTAATTAACGACTATCGTAGCTTTTCGTAACGGTGAAGCCGAGAAATGGTGGCAATAAAATATTCGCGAAGGTAACGAATAGAACCAAATAGCGAATGAGTCCATCCAAGAGAGTGACGAATAATGCGTATGCATTGTTCCGAAAAATAGGATGTTCGTTTTATTTTTCTCCGACCATTTTTCTCATTGACGCGTTAGAATACTCTTCCAATTGACATAACACAAGAAAGTAAATTGCAATATCTGAGAAAAATAGAAATAATTAAAATATTTTACAGCACCAACAATCAATCAGATTTTGCCCATTTTAATTTTATATCTCTGTATTAATTAGATACGCTAATTAAGCATAATTAAACGTAGTTAATGAAGAAATTAGAATATATTAAATATCTATTGAGGCTTTATAACAGAGAAATATTTTGTTTTAATTTATATCACGAAATTGTTTCATAGATTAAATCTATCATTATACTATTTTAATTAATAATAATGAGGAAGCAGCTTTCCTCTCATTTCAACCTAGATAGCCTTCCCAATTATTCTGAATTCATTGCTTTAATTATTCAGTTTAATTTACGCAAAATACTATTCGTAATTGTATGCAATTAATCGGCATTTCAAAATGTGAGATGATATAAATGATATAACTTTTTGTTAAATTTTATATGGTCATAAAATTGAGCTAAGAGCAATCAATTTACAGATAACTCTCACGGAATTTAATTTGACCGTCGAATCCACGATACGATGTTCTCGCATTTTTCCAGATAGCTTCGGGAGCGAATAGGTGTGCTTTTAAGCGTAATTTTCATTCATTACTTATGAAACCATTAATTCCGCATCGAAAACCCGACGCGTTTTCATTCGTGTGTGTTTCGTTTGAAACCGCGTTTTTATCTCGAGGATTTTACATGGCTATCTCATACAACGCTGTTCAATGCAGCTTTAATCACATATGTGTTCTGGCCGATAAGCAGAGTATTTATGTTCCTTGATTTCCATCGCGCACACTTCAATTTGCGCTCGCAAACTGTGCGTAATTTGATTGATTCATCACTGCGAATCCGCGCACTTTATTTTCGCGAATAACGCATTCATATTGGTATCAATACGAGTGACTTCGCCGCCACCTTCCTTTTTTATACCGAGAGTTTAATGAAACGATCGATTCTCATTTGCCGTTTCCCAACAGTGCTATTTTCGAGAAAAACCCGGTCCAGATTTCGCCTCAATTGTTTGCCGTAGTGTTTCGTAACTGATAGACGAACACCTAACATTATTATTCCGCTAATATCGCGGCATTCTCGAATTTATGCCGATGTCGATTACTCCGAACATTGTTGCTAATATGTTTCGTAAGTTTGAAGACCAAACACGTAATATGTTACATAAACTCTTGCGATTGAAAATTAAGATTACATTTATAAATCAAATTATAGAGCTGTAAACTCTAAATTTCTTATTAAATTATTTTCATAATATCAGAAATAAATTTTTCTTTCATAGTTAGATTTAATAACAAATCAAATATTAAAGTTTTTTATGTTTAATTTCGAACAATTAAAAATCACATGTATTAATATTCAAACATCTATCTAGTTGTAAAAGGTCAAAACTGATAATATCGAAAATCGTCACAGCATCGTATTGATTCGTTCTGACATATGTCATAACTTTCGTGAAAATCATTAATTCCTATCAGGGGAGACCCAAAGAAAAGCTTTGATTTTACGTGTTTAATGGCGTCCTGCTACCGTAAGTTTGTCACAATGCATAAATTTCGCGTCATTATGAGGCTGTTCGCGATAATTGCATCGCGTCGCGGCCAACGACTTAAAAGATCTTCTCGGGTAATTAATTATTGCCGGTGAAGGGTGAGGAAGGTGATAAACACAGCACACTTGCAGTTTGCTAACCAAGAGGCGCACGAACAGGATTCTGATATTGCTTCGAAAATTGAAGGAAGCCATGACAAGATCCCATAGATATACGCGCCATGTTGTTGAATTGGCAAAGGCATAGTAGCGCTGTTATAACCCAGAATGGTACTACCGATGTTCCGTTTTGCAATATAGAAGTTTTTTTTTTCGATCCAGTAACATTCGGTTATATCTATATACTTTCCTTGCTAGGCTATTAATTAAAACAGCGAGTCGCTGCTGTCGATTGATGTAGTCAATCGCTGATATCGAATTTTTTTATGGCTTCTGTTATTGCTGACGCAAACGATATTCTTTCCCAATATTTTTTATTCCGCTAAATATCGGTATCGATACGTATTTATTTGCTGAGTTTACGACAAACATAGATGAATATTTCGAGATGTTGCCAATTTTAAAAAGTTGATAGTTTGTATTTAAATAAGATGATTTACATGTTTCATAATTCTTTTAAAAATAGATTTTCGTGCTTAATGTAAGATAACGGATAACTAATTGTTGTTAATCATATATTATAATTAACGGCGCTTTTACTATTTTATTAAATTGATTATTAAATTAAATTATTGATTAAATTATTAATTTGATCAAATTAAGTTATTTATTTTTTTAATATTTCAATTATATTATTGCGACATTATTGTGCTATAATGGCTGTAAAGAAAAAAGAGAGGGATTTTATTTCTATGTTTATTGCAAAACGATATTGTGGTGTATTTCAATTTTTTATGATGAATGAGCATGTGCATAAGAAATCCCGATAAATGTAATCGTTGTTTACGTTCATACAGTCGATATATCAAACGACCGATGACTGCAGGTCGGTATATTACGCGGGTGTCTTTTTTTTCATGTCAACCGTGTCCGCTCACTCTTACTCTTCTCGAGATTATACGTGATGGCGTGTATAATGCAGGTCGTACCAGCCTGACCTCGATATCTACAGCGGTGGGGTGCACGTACAACCCTCCGGTCGACACCTCCACCAATCTCGAGACACGATAAAAACTAAGATTACTATGCAATGCAATCAGCGGCGTACTCGGTGTTCTTTCAGATTAAAAACACAGTCGGGAATTACCGGTCGAAACTATTATTTTGCTAAGAGCAGGTTCCGCGACCGAGATTGTGTCTCGGTTGTCGGATGCAAAACGTGCAGCGATGTTTGAAGATCGAGTGAGAAAAATCCGTGGCTCGAGTTTCTGTCGTATGCACTTCAGCTGTACCCTTACGCTCTCGAACGCGTATGCATGTCACGTATTCTTTTGAGTATCAAAAATTCGACATATGTCAGAAACGAGAGTTTCTTCTGTTTTTCGTGTCTGCGTCAGGGCAAAAGATTTTACGTAAAATTGATAGAAAAAATCAGATAAATTCTCTCATTGAATTCGGCGTAACGTTAAATAAAATCACGAACAGTAAATTATGAATAAGTTTGTAAACAGATAATCAAATAAAAATCAAATTTTTTATTTTTTATTTTTTAATCTTAAATCTTATGTCGTACAAAATATTGATTTTGCCTCGGGTATTTGCGGTTTGAATAGGAAAACTGCAAATGATTCAAAGCAAGTCTAGTAACTTGCGTAGCGTGTTTGTTCAAGAATAAAGGGATATGGAAATACATTTAGTACAAACAAGTAATGTTTGTAAAAACTAAATTTAAAAGTTTATTAGAAAGTATAATTTGAAATTAGAATGGACAAAGTTTGAATTTTGTCCTCTCTCTCAAAACTTAAATTTTTAGAATTGCTATTTTTGCTATTTTCAATTGTTTAAAAAGCATTTATCTCAATGCTAATATAATGAGAATAGATTTAAACTTAATATAAATATAATAAATAATAAAATTTACTTATAAAAAATATTTGAGCTAAAATGTATCACAAAGTATTTTAGATAAATAATATATTTGTTATGAAATTTTATTTTACAAAAATTTAGTTTTGCTAAATGTATATAATTGCATAATAATCTTTATTAAAAGTATTTCATATAAAGATCAAAGTTACGTTTTAAATTCTTTAAAAATATTTTTAGTTTAAATGTTATTAGATTAGTTTAGTATTAGAGCACTTTAGTACATTTGAGCAAACACAAATTTTGAAAATGAATTAAAATACAAGAGATCATTTAAATTCATTGAGTGCCACATTCGAAGCTGATATCAAAATCTAAAACATGGCGAACAGATGCAAAAACCAAAATATATGTACATTAGTGTGTAAATGTGCTGCTCGTAATATCATATGG